AAAAAAAAAAAAAAACGAAAAACAATGTAGGGCATTTCGATTCGATTTCACTGCATGGTTTTTATTATGGGAGAAATTATCTTCATCTCGAATAAGAAATAATTGAAGATTTTTTCCCCCCGTCTTATTTTTACCTTTCAGTTTCATTCACATTCGAGAACTCCGCTTTTAGGCAGTGCCTAAATATATATATTACGGAATTAGTCAAAATAGGGATATATTTCCAATATGGCGTCTATTTCATTCTATAAAACGACGATCAAAATGCACTGCATTGGCAACCCGATCAAGCTTTTTCTTCACCTCGGCACAGAATGGCTAATAACAGTTTTTCATATTACACTAAGGAAAAGAAGTTTCTAAATCGACCATAATCTTCGGCAACTTCAACAAAAAATTAAACAAAAAACAAAAATGAATAGAAGGGAACATCACAAACGCTTTACGTAGAGTTACCATTAACTTTTATTGATTATGACAGCGTTATTCCGGGATACCTCAGTGGTCAAATGACCACGTGTGTTGCATSTTATCTAAAGTATTTAACTCAATTACGAAGCTAGTTTACCTACTAACTGCTATCATCATACTGACACTTATAGAATCATATTCATGGTGCTCATTTCTTCATATTTTTCTCTAATTCTTGGAGTCTCTCCATTGTCGCCTCTCTCTTGGCTTCCTCTGCTGCCTAAGAAAGAAACGATTTTTACCACAAGAGTCAATCAACAAATAATGATAACTAATAATGTTTAAAATTGAAATAATTAATAGCATAAAATTATCATCATCGTGACCCTTATCTCCCAATAATATTATTGTAATCACCATCATCATTAATATTATCACATCATCAAAACTAGATGAAGTATGGTGCCGGGCTACATGCAATTTTGTCATATTGTTTCCCACTTGTAAGAAATCCGTTCTATAACCAGTAGTAATTTGAGTAGTATAGCGGCTTTGCAGCATCACGTGATGTCAGCCATGGCAGGTGGCAGGAACAATTGAATTTAGTCTAATGTGATTTACATGAGAAAGAATTCAGTTTCCCAGGGGAGAAGGAATCTATCGTTGTGCCTTCTGTCATGGCTGCCATCACGTGATGGTGCAAAGCCTCTATATGGTGGCAAATGTAAATGTGATGGCGAATTATCGAAATATCGTTTTAGTAAAACAATTTCTACTTATGCATGGTGTACTGGATTTTCACCATTTATCTTAGACTACTTCCATTGGTTTTTGCGCTACCTCAATCCTATATATTACAGACCATGCATTTGCATTTGCATTTGCTTTTGTCTTACCTTGTTCACTGCTCTCTTCCCACAACCGGGAATGCCTGCCGAGCACCAGCCAGAAACCTCTGGGAAAGAAACCATGGCAAGAACGACCAGCAATATCAGAAGGGATCTCATCGTGCTAATGCAAGCTTGAACTCACTGTAAAATCTAAAGCAAATTGAGTCAAATACGTGCATCAATATTTCTGTAAATTCATGTTTACACAAAAATATATACACTACACTTTGTTTTTGTACTTTCTGAGACGATAATCAATGCTCAAACGGTGATTATGAGGTTTTCCAAAGTTTGCCAGATCAGTAGTAAAACTAAAATGTTTCCCCCTGAATTTTAGCTTTGCTCAGGTAGATCAATTTATTGCTGCTATCAGTCAAAAGCAAATTTTCTAAAAGCACTATAAATATATTTATTAGTTATTAAAAGCTTACATCAAACAACGAAACGAAACGAAACGAAACGACACGAAAAGATGCGAAACAAAGATTTCGTATTTGACAGTGTGTAAAATGCGGAACGAAAGACTGTAACCTGAGTCATTGCGATCCCATGTTTAACTGTAAGCTTACTCACGAAATTGGACGAAAACTTAGAAATTAGAGGTTACTTTGAATCTTAGTATTCACCTCCAATTAACCAATGAGCGCGCGCGTTCTTAGGAAGTACACAAGTTGGTATATGCTAAAAGTAAAGTCATTGCTGCTGTCGGCCAAAAGCACTTTTTAAAGAGCACTTTCGAATTTTCGATAAACGATTTTTTTGAAAATAATTTTTCACCCTAAAATAACTATTACAAAGTATACTAAAAACTTGGGGGGAAAAGGAAAATCTTTGGATGAGGAAAACACAACAGAGCTGGGCTCCAAACAAAGTGTCTCCTATAAATTAATACAAATTAAAGATATCAAACGAATATAAAGCCCGTGCTTTGTCATTTATTCTGAACTATCATATCAAATGTAGTTATGGTTCAAAAGAATTTTATTCAGAGTTCAAACGTGTTTCTTCATTACATGTGCTCTCTTCTATCAAGCTTGGGACAATAATACTTTAAGGTTTTCTCCTGTACAAAGAATATCATCGATCACTGAGTTTAAACAATAATTATTTGKCAAGTTTCCCTTGGATCCCGCTGAATGAAATGTTAAATCTTGAAAAAATATGCTTCAACCTAAAGAATGGCAAACGTAATCATCGCATTTTACAGATGTATAGGTAATCGTATGGGGCCGAATAAAATGAAGGATTAATTTCACGAGTGTTTTCAAAGTTTTGAAATTGCCCGACAATCGAGAAGCGAAAAAAACGTACTTTTTATCATTTGATTGAAAAGTACAATGCGGAATATAATATATAATAATAATGTAAAAATAGATCTATAATAAATTTATATTTGCAGACGTAATGTGATCTAAATAATAATAATAATTAAAAAATAAATAAAAATAAAAACAATATAAAATATTAAAATATTGAAAATATTAAATTACTCAGTAACAGCAAGCATTAGAAGTCAATAGGTTACGAGAAGAGCAGCATTTAAGGCATATGGATTTCCAGGTGTTAAATAGAGGATATTACATGGGCGCTTGGAGATACGAAATTTATCTTCGAGTGTTGAAAACATCTTCAAGAGATTTTCAACACGAGAAGAAAAATTTCGTATCTCCAAGCGCCCATGTAATATTCTGTTTATCATATAATTATCCATAAAATCAACTGAACAAGCTTTTTATTATCATAAAAAGTTTTTATTCATAAACTAATAGCTTAAATACACATGGAAACGATATTTTCACATGTGAAAATAACATGTTATTGAGGTGCTTTGCACCTTATTATTATTTATATCGCCCTGTTAAAAACAATATTGATACATTAATTATTCATGTTATTATTAATTGCGCTTATTGAAATATAACTGCAAGTTATGAACATGATTGAATAATATCAGTTTGAAAAATATTATTTATAAATTAGATATTATTGCTCATTTATTGGCAGATGCTTAAAATGCTTTTTCAAC